CCTGTGCGTCCTGAGGTGGACTTAAGGTTTGTTAGGGCGGGGTTGGGCAACGTATCAACTTTTGTGAATGATTTTAGGGCTCTGTCCTTGATATATTTTTTCTCTGAGTCGATCTTTCACAATAACGCTTCTGGGTTCAAAAATTGAAGTTTTAAAAGTTTAATAAAAATGTTTAATTTGATATAAGTATATCAAATATTCATTTCTTCAACAAATCTCTTCGATTAATTAGATAATTATTTAAATCTTCGACATATTTTCTAAATTTTTTTCATTCCCTTTACAAAAGGAGGAATGTTTGAAATATTTATTAAAAACGGTTTTCTTCTCAAGTAAAATTCTAAAACCTAAAAAAGGTATAAGCTATATATACCATATAAGAAATTAGATTTTAAGAAATTTTTGAAAATCCTTCATTTGGAATGTGAAGGAGGTAAAATTTGGAAAAAATGTCTACAGTACAAATATTTAAAATCTGATTTTTCAATTTTAATCCGTTATCGCCAGAGACTGAAGTGTCTAGGAGATATCAGATTTCTGATCCACCCATCGTTATTAGCCTCAAATTAATCAAAACCATTAAAAAATGGCCGTTTTAGTATTTTGTAAGGTATGTGACAGTCAATAAAGTACAATTTTTTTATTAATTAAATGATTATAATTTGTTATTAAATCCACAATTGACTGATATAAACAATTAAACAATATGAAAACAAAAACAAGCAATTAAATAAAATTTATTAATTGATTCATTTTTGTGCTTTTGCTCTTGAACAAATTCAATACATCGCACTGTCAAGCGTACTTCTTAGCCTATTGGCATGACTTGAAGATAAACGATCTAAAATTTATTATTGGATTGTGGATATGAGAAGTATTGTAGTAATACTTGTTGTTGTTGTTGTTAAGTTATAGAAATTGTTCAGATATTATGAGTGCACTTTGCAGCTACTCGAAGCGGCGGCACTCGAAGCTTCCGCAAAACGCGTCAATTACACGGCACTTCAATCTTAGAATTGCTTCCTTTTGTATTTGTTGTTGGCGGTTTTTTGGAAAATTATAAAAATAAATATCAACAGCAGATACTAAACGATATTCAGCGATATTGTTTATAACAGCTGCGCTCTATATTGACCTTAATTATACATTCATTGCAGTTGATTTACTCGAAGCAAAAATATACAAAAAAAGTAAAAAGTTAACAAAATAAAAAAATGTATTACGCAAAACTTGATGAATTCTGCAAACATGTTTTGATTTTCGTCGATTGTTTATACTCCGTAAACAACCGGACAAGGTCAGAAACGGGGCTAAAAGGTTTACAATACGTGCTAAAAGGATTCACTAAGAATGTGTTATAATACATTTTTATGAGGAATTTTTGATGAGTCAAGTCAAGTAAATGGATTTGTATTGGAAGGCTGGTTTAGTATATAAAAAGTAGTTTTTTAATACTTTTGTAGGATCTTCTGTTTTCAGTATAATCATCCCTTGAGTATTTTAGTTCACTTATATTCTCTAAAATTTTTTTCCAAATATCATAGTTTAGGTTAAGTCGTAAATCCAAAGGATTCACATCAACCTATTGGCCCATTGTGTTACCTTATAAGGAAAACGAGGTTCAAAACCATTGGCAACCTTGAATCATTGGCAAGGCAAAAATGTGATATTTAGTGGAGGTTCTTGGAGTTGGCCCAGATCATCAAAAAAGAAGACCCCTATAATAGTGAAACGGTGCCGTATATGCGTTGAGCAAAAACAACGCAGCTGTGAGGCACTTTTATATTTCTCTCCACAACTGCGACCTAAATGATTAAAAGGGAAATTCAATTTTCTAGCTGCGACCCGTGAGCAAAGTTACCACAGGTTTGACAACTCTACTGTGCATCTCAATGAGAGTATTGAATTTCATTTTAACGGCGTCGTACATGCGCTGGACAAACAACAAAGCAGATGTCCTCTCATCGTTCACCCTTGTTTTCATCGGTCTCTCGACAACTGGGGCACAAATGATTAAATGGAAGATTCAATTGAGATTCAATTTTATATCTGCTACCCCTGAGCCAACATATCACAGGACTGACATCTCTATGGGCATTTTAATGAGAGTATTGGATTTCTTCGTAATACAATGTAGTACACCACAGCACAGAAAGATTTCAGCAACAGTTCGCATAATATCAACGGTATGCCCAGATTTTTTAGGTGTTCCGATTAAGTTCCTGAAGCACCCTTTCTGGCAAATAAATAAATCCAATATATGCCAAGAAATAATATATAACAGTGTATGTGGTTATACTTACTTAGAACTACTTAGTTCCATTATTACAGCTGATTGTTTCATGCGCATATATGATTGATATGTGGTCTTAGCACGAACTTTGGTTAAAGTTGTTACAATGATGGAAAGTAGGAAATAATCGGAAATCTATTTCATTATTCTCTAATGGCTCGGTTCTCTCTTGATAAAGATTGGACGTGTTTAAATATTTATACTTTGAGTTTGGCTTTCTTAAGTATTCTTAACCTAATAAATCTTTTATGATCGACGATGATTTATCAGAAATGACTGACTAGAAGAAGGATACCAAACTTTTTTGGTAAGGTACTGCTATATTAATAAGAAAGCTTAACTGATCTAATAGAATCATCTATAGACGATTGGCTAAGGTGCACTTAGAATGAAGAAACATATATAACTAAATGTCATCATTTAAAGACCAGTAGAAAGAGGTGTTCTATATTGGTGGTCTTACAATGAAACGGTTCTTACGACCAGTACATTTTTCTTTTAAATCTGCATTGTAAACAAATTTGGTCCTCTTTTATAGAGTATAGGTATTTCCTATCTATTGTAAAAGAAGTCAAATGGCTTATACACATTTGCGAAAGACTTAGACATCAGGGTTAAAAAACAAGGCCATGAACAATAGATCTATTCTCGTGGTAATGCAGTCTAGTCTCTAATAATATAAAATTCGGTATGGGTATCAAAAAAAATATTGATAAAACCAAGGCAGAATCCGTCACTTGGGAAAAACTCTGCTGCAAAATTTCCATTCTGGCTGGAACGCAGGTGCACGTAAATTCAAAATAAAATTTTCACGTTCACCATGAATGGGAACTTTTTATTGCGACACTCTTATTTACTTTATTTTATAATAAGAGCCAAACAAAGCTTATGAGTCCAATAAATTAGCAGCGGAGATATAATTACAGCAGTAATAATTGTTAAACCTTTTATGGATTTGTTTACGAAAGTAATTAGTCGAATCCAGCACACAAACTCTTGTATAAATTTGAGATATTTTTTTTTTTTGTAAAATAGAACTTCTATTAAAGTTACCGGAATTTCCAGTTATTGATAATTTTATTGCGTTTTGGTTGTAAAGTTTTTGGGAAAATTTTGTTTATAGAAAATAAGCTCAACTAAATTCATTTTAATATATTGGAAATATTTATAGAGTATCTATTATTCGGGTTTAAAAAATTATTGATACATTTTTAATGCAAAATTTATAAATGGACTCGAGCTAAAAATATATTTTTCTGATTAATTATTGAAGACGTGATAAAAAGTTTCAATGGATCGAACGATGGTGCCTATGAGTAACCAAAATTCATAACTCAAAATGTTGAGAAATTCTTACTTAATTGTCAAAATACTATTTTTTAATAATAAAAAAATAAATAAAAAGTAAATTAGCACGCTTATTTAATATTTATTTTTTAATAATTATGAAGTTAAGTAACATTTTTTCGTATATACGGAAATTCAAGAATTAAAACCAATTAATCACTTTTTAGCACTTTTTCACACAAAAGACAGCTAATAATTTTGTCAATAATTGAGTTTTGAAAAGTAAATCGATGTAAATCGAATACATTTCCCAAGAAATTATTTTAATTTTTAAATAAATAAATGTAATGAATTGGAGAAACAACATAAACACTTAATTGGAATTAAGTATTTTAAAACAAATATTAAAAAAAAAATATACAAAAAAAATTCAAAATTGAAATAAAAAAAATTAAATTGAAAAATTGAAATTGAAAAATTAAAATTAAAACAATAAAATTAAAAATATCAAGAGCTAAAAAACTAAAAATAATAAATTTAAATGTACTATTGGAAAAAGAAATATATCTTCAATTTTTGAATTGTATGGTACTAGAAATTTGGTTCCAATCAGAAATCAGATTATGAAAATCAATTTTCTGACAATTAATCGTCACTTAAGCGATCACAACAAATTGTTTCTGGGTTTAAGCCTTACGTAGCATTATTCTTCCGATGTCTCTGCTACTTGTGCAGCTACTCTATACTCATACACCTAGCGCAAATAGTGCTCCCTCAATTAAATCACTTCATCAAAGACACGATCTTACCCTACGTTTCTTCATTCCATTTTTGTCATCTATTATCATGATATTGCCAATGAGCGAAGTCTCTAGATGACAGTCCTGTAAAGAATCTGATTGTCATAATAAAAATCGTGGTAGTCTACACCAACACATAGAAGACCAACAAACTTAAATCACTTCATCAAAGACACGATCTTACCCTATGTTTCTTCATTCCATTTTGCACATCTATTATCATGATATTACCAATGAGCGAAGTCTCTAGATGACAGTTCTTTAAAGAATCTGATTGTCATGATAAAAACCGTGGTAGTCTACACCAACACATAGAGGACCAATAAACTTATGAAGAACTTTACTTCCACTCTTACACAGACTACGTTCTGAAAAACGAATTTATATACATAAGTTCCGATCAGAATTCAAATCAGAATCGGATTAGTTTTGTTATATTTATTAAAAATCAAGTCTTTTATCCGATTTTTGATTATATACTTTAATTAAGTACGGATGTAATAAAAGATTCTAACACGA